GCATACATGCATGCATGCATGCATACATCCATGGGGGGGGAGTAACCAAAGGGGTCCAAGTATTAACATTTAAGGCAAATTACATGTAGCAGTGAACACTGGCAAAATAAAAAATAATCAGTTTGGGTGACAGAAAACATTATTTTCAAAAATTTTATTTAGTTTTGTCCTATTAAAAATTAATACTAGAAAGAGTTTGGAATTGCCCCTTCCATCCTCAAAAGAAAAAATCATCAACTCTTCTTAGATCCATCAGATAATTGAAGTCAGAGGGAAAACTGCAGCCCCAGAAACTTGAAAGAGGGGCAAATACTGAGAATCACAGTGTACTGGGATCAGAGTCCCAGAAGCAAAAGCCAGTACCAGTAGGAACACTTAAATTGTACTAGATGAATTTCTGGAGGCCCATTATGAACTAGTTTGAGAGCGAAAAACTCCATGGGACCTAGACTTAGGGGGACCCCAAACTTTCATGAGTTTTGTCTACATGAGCACTACCAGGTCCTCAAGTGTGAAGATTGGAGAAATGTCCCCTTATGTTCTTGGCAGGGGAAAAGGGAAAAATAACCATTTTTAAATGAGCCCAGAACACTTCATTCTCCTTTAAAATAGTCTGCCCTCAAGAGAAACTTTAATCAGAATCTAAACAACTTAGGTTTTACAAAAGCTTAGCCTACATGGGAGAAATGAAATACCCAAGAAAAAAATCAAACAACCCCATTAAAAATTGGGCAAAGGACATAAACAGAAACTTTTCAAAAGAAGATAGACTAATGGCCAACAAACATGAAAAATTGCTCGACATCTCTAATCATCAGGGAAATGCAAATCAAAACCACAATGAGATATCACTTAACTCCAGTGAGATTGGTTTTTATCAAAAAGTCCAAAAACAACAAATGTTCGTGTGGGTGTGGAGAGATAGGAACACTCATACACTGCTGGTGGGACTTCAAATTAGTACAACCTCTATGGAAAGCCATGTGGAGATACCTTAAAGAGACACAAGTAGATCTACCACTTGATCCAGCAATCCCATTACTGGGCATCTACCCAAAGGAAAAAAGACATTCTATAATAAAGACATCTGCACTAGAATGCTTATAGAAGCACAATTTGCAACTGCAAAGATGTGGAAACAACCCAAGTGCCCATCAATACATGAGTGGATTAATAAAATGTGGTATTTGTATACCATAGAGTTCTACTCAGCCACAAATAACAATGGTGAACTAGCACCTCTTGTATTATCCTGGATGGAGCTGGAGCCCATTCTACTAAGTATCACAAGAATGGAAAAACAAGCATCACATGTACTCACCATTAAATTGGTACTAATTGATCAACACTTATGTGCATATATGGAAATAATATTCACTGGGTATTGGGCAGCTGGGAGGGGGTGGAGGGGATGGTAAATTCACACCTAACAGGTGTGGTGTGCACTGTCTGGGGGATGGGCATGCTTGTAGCTCTGACTCGGGCAGTGCAAAGGCAATATATGTAACCAAAGTGTATCCCCATAATACTCTGAAATACAAGAAAAAAGTTAAAAAAAAAAAGAACGAAATACCTAACTCCAGACCCCTCTAGCTTTCCTGTCTCACTTAAAGTGAAGAGGACAGCTAAGAAACACTTATGAAGATAACAGTTCAGGGGCACAAGCTCACTAAACGACTGAGCTCATCGTACAATTAGGGAACGCGTGGTGCCACATCAGTCAGACTCCTTTATGATAACAAGGGATTTTGGCTGAAAAACTACAAAGCTCAGATCCTATTTAGGATGCAGTCTCTAGGAAAACCCAAAGAAAACAGTGGAGATAATATTACAATAAGGACACTAGAGGAAATTTCAGCCTCTGACATTTATAGCTATAGCAAGCAATAAACACAGACTATCTTTTAGCCAGATAAACATAAAATTTCACACTAAAGGCCTGTTTACCTCAGTTCCTTTTATCCCATACATCATATCTGGTTTTTAACAAAAAATTATAAAGCATGCTAAAAATCAACAAACACAAAAACCCCACAGTTTGAAGAGACAAGACAAGCATCAGAACCATACTCAGATATGGCAAAGATTTTGAAATTATCAGACTGGGGATATAAGATAACTATGATTAGTATGTTAAGGACTCTAATGTAAAAAGTGGACAACATGCATCAACAGGTTAGTAATGTAGCCAGAGAGACGGAAACTCTAAGAAAGAATAAAAACAATGCTAGAAATCAAAACATTGTAACATAAATGAAGAATGCCATTAATGG